GAACTCACGACCTTGCGCTTGCCAGGTAGGCGCTTTTTGCCGCTGAGCTAAATCCCCAGCACCGAGGCTATGGCTATTTTAAAGTCTCTTTCAAATGTGTAGGTGTCCTAGCTCAGCATTTAGCACAGTGCTCTGACTTTTCTGTACCACAGCTGACTGGCTGGGGTGTCACTCACTGGCTCCCTGTTCAGCCATCTTAGAAAGTTTCTAGAGCCTATACTAAAAGGGTTTCAAAGGACCCTTACCCCACTTGCAAAATTGCTCGCAATTTTTTGTGTATAGATGCATTTTTTCAAGGAGAACTTACATTTTTTATCAGCCTCTTGAATGAGTTAGAAAAGTTTAAAAATTACTATTCTGGAGACTTATACATCCCAAATTGTCTTTTGGAAAGATGAATGGAGAAACTACCTACACGCACATTTTCTCTATCCCTGAAGTTTCTAGAAAAGTAAAAGTAACCAAACAGTATGCTAGTAATAAGCATTCATTGAAAACTTACTATGTGCTAGTCAGTGTTCCAAATATTTTACATGGGCTTTATAATTTTATTCTCATTCAACCCTAAGATTCTCTGATATATATAAGTCAACAAAAGAATAATTTTAGGACACACACAGAGATGCTATTTTGACATGGTCTTTCTTACTATTTTGATCTTGTTTCAGGTTTTTGTATGATGATCTATGTACTTTATTTTATTAATTTGTTTTTTTTTTCTTCAAGTGGATCACAACATACTGTCACAACAATTTATGATCTGAAACAATGTACCTTACTAAATTAGTCTCATTGGGATAACAAGTGTTCTGGACAACTTATTTTTTCATTTAACTGATGGTTTACAAATTAATGATTTAAACCTGCCTAAATGAAAGGAGCTATAAATAAGATGTGGAAACTTTGGCTTTTGCATCTTTTCTAAAATTTGAGGTTCTATTTCACACCAGTGTTGACCAAAGCCCTCACTTGAGTAATTCCCTGCTACTCACTATTCAGCAAAAATACTGCTGAAAGCTCCAGAATCTGAAAAGAGGTTAGAAAATTAAAGTGTTTTTCCAAATTTGGGCCAATCTTCATGCCTTCCTAATTTCTCTACTCCTTACAGACCCATACCACCAGATATTATAATTCTGCATAATAAAAATCTACTGATTTGCATTTAGCTCAGAAAGTTTTCTACCTAAATACCTTTACCAATGTTAGCTCATCCCAAATGAGTCATTGTACCTATTAAAACTGTCTTGCTAAGGCAACCTTGACCAAGTGAAATACCAACAAGATAATTGATGGTGGTTAAGTGACTTCAAGTAACCTTGTTCAGCAGATACTTGCTTCCTTTTTCTGGAGGCTGTAGCTTATGAAATACCACCTTGTCTTAGATTTTCTTCTACCTGTCTTCCTCAATTACCTTTATAAACACCTTCTACCTGTTCTTGAACACTAGTATTCTCCAGTGTCCTATATAAAGCCCTCTTCTTTTTTTAACACAATAAACCCAAGTAACGATTATTCATATCCATCTTCAACTAAATCATTTATTCATATGTATATGACTTTCCCAATACTGTTGAACTCCAGAGCCATATATGTACCTGCCTACTGTACATCCTTAAAAGGCTACTGGCCCTTTAAGTCAAGTATTTCCCAAACTAAGTCACCACCGCCCCAGAAATATCCCCTAGAAACATTCAGCTAGCCAAGATATGGTCTTCTATTGGAGAAGCACTTCTTTTATCCTCATCTTTTCTTTCCTTGTGTCAGAGGAAAGAAGCGGCACCCCTGGTCTCTTCAAGAGTGGCACCCCTGGTCTCTCTCCATCTCCTCTCCTTACTCCTCACTGCAGGAAGAGGAAAAAATTATGTCAGTGAAATTGGGAGGAAAAAAAACACTGGGTATACACAGCTTAACTTCTTTCCTTTGGCATCTGTGTGCCTGAAAAAGGCACATGTTCATTCCTCTACATTCTTCTCCACCATGAATTTTACGTAAGTGGACCCTCTTGAGGACATCTATCAGATATCTCCCCTGCCTCAACTTAAATTTGGGCAAAAAAAGCAGTGCTATATATCTATGCTATTGTTATGGCTTAGAACTAAGGGCTTTGGAATATGATTGGATCACAAGGGCTCTAACTTTATCAGTGGATTAATCCATTGGTGAGTTCATAATTTGATGGCGTTATTGGCAGGAGATAGAAACTTAGGAGACGGTACCTAAATGAATAAAGTGGGTCATGAGGGTATGACTTGAGTACCATACAATGTCCTTGACCCCTTCTGTCTTGGGCACATGCTCTCTCAATTTCTCCTTCTGCTGCCATGAGATAAGCAGCTTCGCTCCACCATTCCTTTCCAACATGATGTCCTGCTGTGCTTCAGGCCCAAAGCAACACAGCCAGCTGATCATGGACTGAAACCTCTGAAACCATGAGCCAAAAATAATGTTTCCTCCCTTAAATTGTGTTCCTCAGGTAATTTGTCACAGTACCGAAAGGGTAACTAACACACCCACCAAATACAATGCCTTCAAAGAACTCTGAAGTCTTCCATTTACCTTATCACCTTATATCCAACCAGTACAAAATAAAGGACAGCACTGGACTATTGCTTTAAGATTCCCAATAAGGAATCCTAACTATCATTAAAGTTAACAAGAAATATGGTACCAATTAACTCAGGTTTTCATAGGCAACTTATCATGTAAGTTGGTCTAATAGTCATTGGTCTAATTCTTGAAAAACACTACCCTTAAAGAAGGGGGAAAAAAGAATTGAGATGTGTTATGTATGCATACCAGTTCCCCACAATGAATGCAATCATTATGTGCTGTAGATATGTCCTAATAAAAAACTAAAAATTAAAAAAGAAAAACATTGTCCCTGAATACTATAACCAGGCAAATAAACAACCCCCCCACACACCCCTTGCAGAATTGTTCTAATCTCTACTGAGAGGTATGTAACATGTAGCTACTACCCTGAGATGAACTTTTACTTGAAGCTAGTAGAGTAGTCAGCTGAACTTCAAAACTTAATGATACATGGTTGTCTGCCAGGAAATAATTGCTTTACTCTATTATCAAAATTTTAAACCTCTTTAGCATGTCCTCTAATAGCATCCCTTTGCCCATTTAACATCCAGTCTGATGTCATCCTTTTACCCTTCCCTTTGGATTTGGCCCCAGCAGGAGATCAGAGGGAGAATGCTGCCAGAGCACTTGATCTCCTGATTTTTTCCTTGTGAGATCACTCTGAGCTGAGTCCCGGAGCAGAAAGTCCCTGTTCCTCTCAAGGAAGCTCATTGTTAGACTTTTGTCTGGTTTCTATTACTCTCCTTCCCCTCATCTCTCAGGCCTCCACGATGGTGACAGCAGTATAGCTGTGAGCTCTGCACTGATTCCTGCAGTACCACCTGTGATTCTCCACACCTCTCCTTTATCTGAGAAAATTATAGTTCCTTGGGTAAATAAACTCTCCTTGAATTATCCTAAATTTTTTTGAGACAGAGCCTTGCTCTGTAGTCCAGGTTGGCCTTGAACTCACTATGTAGCTCAGGCTAGCCTTGAATTTGAGACAGTCCTCCTGCCTCAGCCTCCCAAGTGCTGGGATTACAGGCGTTTCCTACCAAACCTGTTTGAATTACCCTAACTTAAATTGCCTTCTCTTTTACCTAATCAGGTTATCAGGGACCCCAGCAAGAACCCCAGTCTTAACAGAGTGACTCAGCTTTAGTCAATGAAAGTAAATTAGTATGTGAATTTCTATATTCAGTTGTTTCTGTTTTCAAGTTGTATTAATAGAAAATCACTTTGTTCCCCAACCCATTAAATCAATGTTGAATTGAATTATCACACTGCTCATTACTCTCATGTGCCCCACACTTTAAATTAGTCATGGAATCCCACTACTTCTACCTTATAAATATTCTTCAAATCTATCCCCAAATCTTCCATTGTCATCTTCTTTTTTTTTTTTTTTTTCTGTTTTTGAGACAGGGTTTTGCTATGCCATTCAGGCTGGCCTTGAACTCACTTTGTACTCCAGGCTGGCCTTGAACTCTGAGCAATCCTCCTGCCTCAGCCACCTGAATACTCGGATTATAGATGTGCACCACCACACTCAACCTCCCATTGTCTTCTAACATCAAATCACTTCTCACTTAAATTACTAACTTGTCTCCCTACCCCATTCTAGGTTTCCCACCCATCCATTTTCCATACAAATACCAGAATATTTAAAAATATAAATTAGAACATATAACCAACCACTCTGCTTTAAAATGCATCAGTGGTCCTCTGTTGTCATCAATATAAAATCCAAATTCCTTAGCAATTTCAGTATGGACCTTGACTTAACTTCTACCACTTTTGCACATTATATCTATTTTTGTTCCTTACCAGGACACTTTCTTCTCGCTTCTTTAACTAACTCCTATGTATTCTGTAGACCAGTGGTGGCAAACCTATGTGTCATTTGTTTTCTGGAAAGATAGTGGAGTGGTGAGCAGCAGAGAAAGAGGCTGTCTGAGATTTGGTGTCCAGATACTAGACTATAGCAATGTGAGGAAGTGAAGAAGGAGGGAAGTGGGTCCCTGAGACCCAGGGAGGATCTAAAGTGAGAATTAAACCCCACAGGGAGAGTGAAGAAAGAGAAGAAGAAGGAGGTGGCAGGTAGTGTTTTCTCCCTGAACCAAGACTCACTGCATGGGAGGGGTGGCTCAAACCTGCAGATGCACAGTGACTACTGGCAACCTCAGGACTACCATGGAGAAATGCACCAGCAGAACAGAGTACTGGATGCAGCAGATTGCAATGAGTGGCTGTGTTTGATGCTATTGTTATTGCTGCTTGTATTACTTTAGCCAACATGACCTAATTGTTCTAATTAGTTATTGTTGGTATACCAAGACTGAGATTGCCTGAGGGTCATAAGCAGTTCTATAGGACAATACCAAAGAACCAGGGCCTGGGCCAGGTAGGCAACAACTTCTCATCTCCAATAAATTGAAGAGACAGGATCTTACAACAGATTCAAAACCCCAAAGCCAGGTACATCTGGAAGACATCTCTGAGAAGTAGTCATCTCCTAAGCATCCTAAATACTAGAATAAAGTTACTTTCCATAAGCAGTTTACAAGCATCAAACCAGGAATTAAACTAAAAAAAGGTAAAAGAAAATGAGAAGTACTTAAACAAGATTCCACCCCCAGACTTCCAGCTCACCAAAAGTAAACCCAGGGTGCAATGAAGTGGAACAGTTCAAAAGCCACCCACTTAGACTCTTTCAAGTGGTAACAGTGGAAGTAACAAAGCATATGAACAAGTGTCTAGAAAAAAAAAATCAAATCAGAAATAATTTCGCAGACAACTACACAGACAGTGACCATAAAGAAAAACATGCTTTATGACTCTAGCACAGATACAAATAAAAAAAAATTGAGGAGCTCAGGAAAATGATGGAAACCATGATTCTGAACGTAGAAAAGAAATGAAATCCATGAAACAGATTCAAACAGACATCCAGGAGATTAAACATTCCACTGAAAGTATATGTAGCAGAATGAGCCAATGTGAGGATAGAATATCATATCTAGGAGAAAGGATTGTGGTTAGCGACCATGAAAAGAAAGATTTCTTAAAAATAGCAAGGAACCATGAAAAATCAATTCAATAGCTGGTAGGGGATGTTTTTCTTCTATTTATCTATCATCTATTTATTTATTTATTTTTTATGTTTTTCTTTTAAAACAAAAGATATTAATTTAGATTGTTTTTTCTAAACTAAAACCTCAGTACTCAGGTTTAATTGTAGTGTTGGTGCTTTGTGATAAATAAGTGGGTTTTGGGTTACAGTTTGGGCACTCATTTCTAAAAGGTTCACCATCACTGCTGTAGACTACCCCACCTGTCATTTGCTCTTGAAAATCAGTCTTGGGCCAGGGATGTAGCTCAGAGGCACAAGCACCTGCCTGGCAAGTGCAAGGTCCTGAGTTCAATTCCCAGTACCATATGCCATTTGCCAACACTCCCACTGCACTCTAAGCTCTTTGTGATATAGCACAGTGCCTGATACTTAACAAATGCTGAATAAGTGTTTCAGAATTAACATTGAAAATCTTATGGAAGAAGTTATCTTTTTAACACTAACCGTCACTCATAGTCTCCCCAAATTCTATGTATGCTCAAACCTAAGGAAAGAGATATTGGGAGAGGGAAATCTAAGAGTGGAGTAGAAGTGGGGCCAGCCCTGCAGAGAATGTGAATAGCAAACTTTTGGAGACAAGACAGCTAGAGTACCTCTGACCTCAGGAGAGGAAGTCAATGGGACAGAGCTGGATAGGCTTTGAGCAGGTGAACTTTCAGCATTCTGGGCAGCCCCAGGATGAAAACTGGAAATTAGAAGGCACCAACGTTCCCTTTTGTTTTTAAACGGAAGAATCTTTTTTTTCCCAATAAAATTGTCTTTAAAACCCTAATATGTGAAGCAGATAAGACAAGAATTTTATCAGCCTGGATTTATATACACTCATCTTTATAACATTTACTTATTATAAAGTTATTCAAAGAGCACACTTTTGACAAACATAAACATTTGAAGTGGAGTGAATGAATAGTGATTGCAACCTTAACAGCAGTTTAAACACTGAAAACCTAGAATCAGAAGCTGATGGACTTTCTAAATTAGTTGCTCTAAACTCTGGTGTTCTAAAGAACCCAGTTCAACAATGGCGTTTCAGCATCAAGCTATTCTCACAGGCAGGTTTTCTCAGCCTGAACTGCTGAAAGCTGCTGTGTTGGTTTGGGGCTTATTTTGCAAAGGGAACACGATACAATACAGGA